CTGACCCAGAGCTAGAGGAGAAAGAAGATGACCAAATTGTAGTTGATATATCTGGACCTTACTTGGCAAAAACTGTGACACAATAGTTCAGAAAATCTTTTAGAAAAAATATTGAAAACTGAACGGGTTGAAAAATATGACCCAAACAGAATATAAAGATATTATCTATGCAGCAGAATGAGAGACTAAATTCTAATGGCTGTACTTCTAGACTCAAAGTACACAACAAAAAGCCTTTAACTGTTTAAAAAGTGGATTTTGTCTGATATTTCTCCTGTAAGTATCCTGGATGTTACCAGTCTGCATTATATATTGCTACCAACATCTAATTTCTTTGTACTTAGAGAGATTGCCTATTTATAATATTTGTGTGGAGATCTATTTAGATACAAAGCACATTTACATTTCAGAATTGCCTCCTCCATCCTGCTTTCCAACTGCCACTGTAAAGAGAATGGGGAAGTTAGAGCAGAATGGATAGGTGGGTGGTAATGAAATTGGAAGTGATTCAAATAAGCTCTTAATTTCAGCCCAGCGTTCATGAAAAATTAATGAAGAGAGGAGACGATATGTTGCTTTGAAACCTCCCCGACTTCGGAGGAGCCCAGCGTTGTTTCAATACATTGGCAAGTGACAACAGTATAATAATAAATCTGACATGCCTGCCTTTATTAAAATATTAATCGTTCTTTTTTTTTTTTTTTGCATTTTCTTTGTACAAAATAGATATGTAATGAAACATTCAAAAGGAAAGCCAATGTGACTCAAACTTCCTTTGAGGTTCACAGCCATATGAAAAAATTATGCACACTTCTGCATTCATTCACAGGGTTCTTTTTAAAGTAAAATGAATATCTGGTGTGTAGGCATACTACCCCCACATATATGGATAAAGATTGTTTTATTGAGGGCTTCACGTCCGCAGAACGACTGACTTCTTTGGTTTCTGCAGGTTGAGTTGGGCTAACTCCCACCTGTAAAGACTGCAGGATACCTTCAGTAAAGAGAGGCCATTGTGTTTACTGTGCCACGCAATCCGTCGCATTTCACACATGAACAAGATTCCAGCAGACATAAAGTTATGCAATTAATTTTGTTTCATGAGTATTTGTGTTTTGTATAACGGAACTTGTAACTTGTAAAATGATTTGAAACTTGTGTGTACTTGTGATGTGTAACAGTGAACTTGTGATTTGTAATTGTGAACTTGTGATTTGTAACCATGAACTTGTAATTGTAATTTTTTTAATCTTTTACACATACAAAATAGCAGTTGCACCTCTTCAGATTGTTAAATGCAACTTCACAAATACAGTACACAGTTACAAATGTCAAATCCTTTATGTTAAGTTATGTTATACAAAACACAAATAACAAAGAAACATGTTCAGCTTCATATAAAGTCCTGCGGTGGAAAGCGTTACAACAATGGGAATTTTAAAAAAAATCTCCCATTGTAGCTTTTTTTTAATGTCACCTTAGAACATGCATGAATCACTAAAAACAGGAGTGAATGCAAGGCTGCATTCCTGCAGGGTTTTTTTTTATAGGTGACAATAAATATATTAAAAAAACTGTAACAGAACATTCTATTGCAGTTTGTATAATTTTGTGCTAACATTTCAGTATCTTGCTGCAAAACTTACTACCATTATAATACTTTTATAGATACTGAGTTAATCAACACAGAGCAAACAGGTTACAAAAAATGTTCTAAAATTATGCCATTAATTTTTGAGCTGTATCTGTGTCAACAAAATATCTCACAATAGCTGATACATTTTAAAGAAACCCTCAGAAAATAATTATTACATATACCCGGGGTTCCCCAACTTTTTCATGCCATGACCCCTCATGACCCCTCAAACAGCATTAACTTTTGTCAGGGGACCACCCTTGCAAATCCACAAAAAAATGTTACAAAATATGTTTAAAAAAAGTCAACTTCTGTTTTTTGTCCCATTTTCTCACTATTCAACAGTTATTACGTTGTTTAGCATAGGAATTTTATTAACTAACATGTTTATACACTATTAAATCCCCACTGGCAAAACAAATTTTCAACAAAATGCTGACAATAAAAACATTTCGTTATATTAATATAAATTATGTTTTAAACTAGATACCGCATATAGCATATATGACCCTTAGGGTGGGCCTGAAAGACAGCACTTCATCTGAACTAAAGAATAAAAAGAGTCTGAAGCTCCTAGGTTGAATAGTTTTTGAGTTATAAGCATTTTTGTATGTCCAGACACCCTCGTTTCAGATGGAGCCCCCTCCTCAGATATGGGGTCTATCAGTGTAAAACAGACATCTATACTCCTGCCAAATTTTATGTTGATCGGTGCAACCGTTTCTGTGATACATTTGACCAAAAATCACTGAAAGAAAGTGAACAGTACAAAAACTATATGACCCCTGAAAAACAGATAAGATTTTATGATAATGGTTAAATTTTTTTTTTATTTGCCTCCAGTATTCTGAGCCCTAGTGTCTCCTGGCAGCTCCCATTTTGAAAAACACTAAGATATACAACTCATAAACATTTGTAGTCAAATCAATTCAAGATGGCAGCCATACCTAATCATCCTTACAACACAAAAAGATTATAACGCAATCAGTTTCACAGACATTGAGCTATAATTTGGTGTGTCTATGGCTGAGAGCAATCCTCCACATGTGCACACATCTTACATGTTTCACAAGAGACCGTGTATAATGCAATTTACAAAGGCTGACCCATCTTAAATGTGTTTTTCTGCTTTGAAATCCCGTCATACCAAAGTTATTTTAATGTAATCTTTGAACTAGGACTTAAAATTAATTCAAAAGATACGCCAAGTTTGACAAAAATGCCTTTGAAATCAATAATGTGGTACAAAAACATCATGCCATTAGTTGTCTCTGTATGATTATCTGAGCAAGCCTTCCTTAAACGTTACAGTCCTGTTTGACTCAGACCTTTAGAAAGTTAAATGTGTCCATCATGTTGGTCCCATGGAACAGGTGTTTACCACAGTTTTTATTTTCAGGTTTTTTTTAGATGGAACAAATACGGTGAAAAAAACTCATGTGCCACAAAAAATCAGAAATCGTTTCATTGAGTGTGTTGTGTTTAGGAAATCAGATATCTGAAACAGAAGTTTGCACTAGTCTCAAGGCCACAGCAGAACAAAGAAAGACCGTCAGACACAGTTAAAATAATCCACAGAAGATTTCGCTGCAGGAGTCTCCTTCTTTTGTCGTGTTTGTTCTTTGCTATGGCTCCTGTGGATCGACTCACTTCACAAAAAAGTTGTCTGTTGCTTGGTAGCCACAGAAGAAGGGAAAATAATGATTTAAAAAAAGATGGAACTGGTGGCTAAATGTCTGTGAAAGTCACTGGATGCTCTGGAACATTAACTCACCGGTGTGCATCAAAATTTTAAAATCTGCAAGAATTCTGTGCATCAAAAGTTTTACAGCGAGTCATAAACTCAGTAAGAAGACATTTAGTTACTCTGAATTATTCCTAATGTAATACTGTGTGAACAGAATATTACTCCTTACTTAGTTTAATTAAATCTAGAGGCATTTATTTGAAAATGTCAGGGGTCTACTTAATATGCATTGAATACAGTGCGTGTTGAATATAATGAAGGAAATAAAAAATGAACAGAATTACATGTTCAGTGCCATTGCTATGGTTGGTACGGGACATCAGCGTAATTTAAAAATCCGCAGTCTATTTGCCACAGTTGAATTTAGAGTGCAGCAGATTTAAAATTTCACAGTAAAGGGGGACGAGGAGGACCGGGGGGGAGCAGAAGGAGTAGACAGAGGGGGGCGGAGTACCAGGGGATCGGCAGGAGTGACAGGATGTGGCTGTGAGCACACTGGCTCGCAGGGTGGTTGCTATTTTACACTCCAATCACACAAGCCCACTGTTCCCCGTGACATTTTAATCTGATCCCCCAACTCAGGGAGACGACAGCCAGCAGAACGCTGCTTAAAGAGAAGGAAAACAGCAGCACAAAGCAGAGCCACAGTTTAGTTTTTCCCTTTTATAAAACCCCTCATTTGAATGGTTCTTTAATTTCTGCATTAAAAAACTTATTGAGTTATGTTAAACCTATTGATTTTTTTTCTCATTATATTCTTAATATGTAGACTGTGTTGTGAATGAGTGCTTTCGCTGTGTACTGTATGTGGTACAGCAGACTCGCAGCACTACTTTTGATTGGATTAGTCAGAGAGACATCCATCCTTTTAGCCTCAGCTCTCCCTCATTGGTGAGGGGCCACATTATCGATCCTGAACAGCTCCATTTCCTTTCTCTGTCCAAACTTATTAGAAGCTTAGCCTTTACACAGCTCAGCTCCCTCCTCCTTCTTCTTCTTCTTCTCGTTAAAACGTTCAATTCTTTTCCATTTATCTCCGTCTTTCGCTATCTTCTAAAGGGTTCTTGCTCTATGACTGATGTTTTGTTGTTTTTCTTATCCCATTGTGTGTTTTCCAGCATGTGCTTGTGTTATCTTGATCTAAATGTGTATCTGTTTTCTCCCTCTTATCTTCTGTCAAACTCCTCGTTGCCCCCAGCTCTGTCTTCTAGTGTCTTAATGCCTCCTCTGTCAATCTGAGCTCACTTGTTCCTCCCTGCTCTCCGATTAAGACTAACATTAGACTCTAAATGACTTTGAGTTTGTTTGGTTGGATAAGGTGTCTAATTTCCTTTGAGAAAGTTACTTTTACTGTTGATTTTCAGAAGGAAAAAAATCCAGGGGGAAGGYGACATCATTTCTTGGCGACAGATTGAGCACAACTAAAATCAATACGGAACATACCTAACATTTTCTGCAACCTTTTAAAGTATTGAATGAATTTATTAATTTTTTTTAGTTTTCAGGTTGCTGTTGCTTGAGAATAAAGCATCTTGTCTGATCTTTGTGCATTTTGTAATGCCAGCAGAAAAAGAAACCATTTTTTATTTTTATTTTTTCCCCTCTGTGTCTCTGCAGGCTCTTTACCCCAGCCCGGAGGAAGGCTGGCAGATCTACAGCTCGGCACAAGACGCAGATGGGAAGTGTATCTGTACCGTGGTCGCACCGGCCCAGAACATGTGTAACCGCGACCCACGCAGCAGGCAGCTCCGCCAGCTCATGGAAAAGGTGACAGCTGTCAATAACACGCTCCCTCCGAGACCCAACTGTTACCCACACACAAACACGCAAACACAAAGCGCCACTGTGCACTTGTGTCTGGCACCGTCTGTCACATGCAGGCTGCCGAACTAAACCTTATAACTCATCAAACGTGGCTTTATTTGCAAAGAAATTAGCTTCGGAGAGTTTCTGAGAGTGAGAGAATGACAAATTGTTGAGATGTTTCTCAAATCAAACCTATGAAAAATAAATCCATAAAATGAAATTCAAGATTTTTTTTACTTTTTTTCCCCAAATAAACTTGCATTACTTAGATGAATGCAAATCATCTTTCAGATTTYATGCCAAAGCTTTAAACTAAAATCATCTTATGTGAGAAATGGCCAAGTTAAAGCTATTTTGACCAATCCATTACAAAAAGAACATTATGCGTTATTTATCTTATGTGATTTAGCTTATTCTATTTGCTCTTGGAGTATGTGTCATAAAAGACATTCAGATACTACCACCATACAACAGTAAAACTGAGTAAATTATAAATATTCTTGTGTTTTCTGAGGTCAGTTGGCTGCGGTGGCCTTTTTGAGCTTTACATAGGCTCAGTTCTAAACCACGCATCCAGCCACATCAGCGTGTCTTCAAACATTAAATCACAGAACTCTTAGAAACACTGTGAAACACTTTAAAACTGATTAATCAGATATGATTCACGGAGCAATAGAAGCTGTGGTTTTCATCCACTCATCTCAATAAAAGCAAAGCTGCTTGTGCTCGGTAATCAAAGCATGGTGAAACCAAAAAAGGTCCATGAGGCAAAGTGAAAGCAGAGCGGCAGAAAAGAGGGGAGGGCKCTGACGCTGAAATGGTCCTGTGAGGAAAAAAGGAGATGCTGAATGTGCTCCAAGGCCCCAACGGATCAATCAGACACCTGAGTTCACGTGCTGAATTTGTTCTTGCTGGAATATGCCGGCTGATCTCCGTCGGAGGATGTTTTCAGCACGTTTATACAAATAAAATCCACAAACACTTCACAAGAGGCATATTCAAACAGAAAATTACACATCCTGGCACCGAAACAAACTGATTCAACAAACCAAGCTTGTCTCAGAGCAACTGGTTAAAAGGGGGCAGATCATGAAAAATCCACTTTTTTAGCCTTTAAAGGGGCTAAAAAATGCAAAAATCAACTTTTTTGAGTTTTATATCATGTTATAATGTTATACTCTCATAAAAAACATGTCCAAAGCCTTGCTTTGACTCATTCATGCATGTTTGAGAAATCCTGCAGCGTTTTTAGGAAGCCRTGCTGAGGAGCAAAATGACAGGTGGGGACCAGAAACGCCCCTGGGACATGTCTTTAAGCCGAACTTCCTCATGGCAGAGCGCAACCCCTCCCCACACACCCCGCCCATGGCTCCTGCAGGCTTTCGGGTGAAAGTGAAAGTGAAATCTAACTGTCTGCTGAGCTCTCAACATTAGTTCTCACTCAGTGATGCTCTTTTCAGATTAAAAATACCTGTGAGGAAATGTATTTTCAGATGCCAAGTAAACTGCATCATTGCGCACGTGCAACACCCCCACCCCCCACCCCCACGAGCCCCCACGTGCAAACATAAGATCTATCTCATTTTCTAAACTATTGCTTCATAGAATTTGCAACAGAACTTGGAAATAAAATAGAAATAAGATCAACTACAATTCGGTGGTCTTCATTCTCCTTTTGCTCCAACATGTAATGCTGGACGGACGAGTCTTCTGTTGTTGGCGTATTTTATTTAATTCATGCGCTGCATGATAGTCGTAAACCCCCTCTCACCAACTGGAGTGGACCACTCTGGAAGCTGAAGTGGGTTGAGGTGTGAAGCACCTTGTTTAGATTTAAAGAGACAGCCTCAAAACGAGTTGATCTGAGGCACACCTCAGAAAAGGGGTGAAAGAGGGGCGTGTGGAGTTACAATAATGAGAAATTCAGACCACAGAATTACAGTTTCACTTTACATCAACCCCAGCTAAATGATTTAAATGTAGGATGTGTCGACTTTAAAATTAGGGGATTTTTTTTCATCTTTTCGGAGCAGGAGAAAGAAAAACTTTGATTTATTGACAGAATTTTCTTGGTGATATAAGTTATCACTCATGGCACCTTTTTTTCCAGAGATTTTTCTTGACATTTTATTCAAAAGGAAAAGAACATTTGTTAAGCCAATTAGAAAAGTAACTTGGTCTGTTATGAATATCAGAAGACACCAGCAATATTTACTGATAGAGACTTCACAATGTGCAGTTTAACAATGTCTTTCAAAAACAAGATTAGAAAACTCTTTGCAGTTGTATTATTTATTGTACAGTTAGTGTTTCTGCAGCTGAGTCCTCTATGAGCGTCTTTCTTGGTGCTGTCTAATACAGCAGTCCACAGCAGGCTTAATGAGAACACCTGGGGTCAGGACCGTTTGAGCTGCACCCCAAGTGAAGATCACAAATTAAAAAACAGTACGTGCATCTGTGTGTGCAAATATCAGAGAAAATGCCCACAGTGACATCCTCATTTGAACCCGGCGCATGAGTGGGGGAATTGTTTGAGACCAGATGCACAAAAGTTCTCCCTGACACAAGGAGCCAAGGGTACATTAACAATGTCAAAACTGCCCTGTGTTCAAAGAATGTAAAGTAGCCTCGCGCAAAATCTCTATTCAAGCTGTCTGATAAAGAGCTGACCCTGAAGGATGGCACCATGAAAAACACTCACAGCAGACTTCTGAACATCTCACCTCCTTTTGACCTTCCCATCTGGCTGACTGAATTGAGATTAGACAAAAAAAAAATGTGGCCTCGGTCAGAAACACAAACAAGCATGCATGATGCAGAATGAGTCATCTTACCGAGCATGAAGCAGGCACACCTGTGAAGAACTGGAAATCTGCAAAGAGGATTCCTGAGTGCCTCCGTTCAGCAAATGGACAGTACGATTGTTCATACTCTGCTGGAACATTTTATTCTTAAAGCTGTTCAACTTAAAACAAAATAAAGTTTTAATGGCTGGTTCCCTGGTGAGCTCAGGACGCACGTGGGAGAGGATCTGGGTGTAGAAAACTGCAGGACGGACAAGAAGCGATGGAGTGGGCTGTCAGGGACTCAGGCAAGCAAAGCATTTGGTGCACAACAGGCTATACGCCAAACTCTGACCTTTGAATGCTGCATCCATTTGGTTTGTTCTTCAGTATATCTCTTGAGTGCCTGAAGTTTCAGTGGTGCATGTCGGCGTGGGCGTGCATCTGTTCACGTGGGTAGCTGGACATATGCACATGTACACGACAGCCCTGCAGCATTTGTCAGTGTTTTGGATGATTCCTTAGCCAGATCCAGATCTGTGCAATGTGCAGGAGATGAGAGGGTGTGCGAAGCATTCGGCTGATAGTGGGCTGTCAAAGTGTGAACCAGTTTAGTACTTTGCAAAAGTTAAACATAGTGCAAAACTGAACCCACTGAGAACAKAAATTCAATAAACGCCCACTTAACTGTATATTTACTTCTGTATGAGGTTTATTCTGTTCTGTATTGAATTTTACCTGTTAATTTTTGCTTAATATTGTTGAGCTATTGACAATCTTTTCATAGCTCTGGAACATTTATATATAAATCTCCAAAACTGAACCCGTTGAACCTGCACTCCTTTTTAGGTAAACAGAGATAAGAACATGCAGAGAGCAGATACATATAAACGAGTTCTGAAGGAGTGACTTTATGCAGCATAAACCAGCGACTACAACCCCAATTTCAATGAATCAGGGACGTTGAGTAAAACATACATAAAAACAGAATACAATAATTTGTCTTTTTCAACTTTTATTCAGTTTAATACACTACAACTATAAGCTAGTTAATGTTCAAACAGATAAACCTTTTTTTAATGTTCACTTATTTTGAATTTGATGCCTGCAACACATTCTAAAAAAAGGCTGGGCTGAGTTACATCATCTTTCATTCCAACAACACTCAATAAGCATAAATGAGGACACAACTGTTTAAGCTTTGTAGATGGAATTCTTTCCTATTCTTGCTTGATGTTCARCTTCAGTTGCTCAACAGTTCAGKGTCTCTGTTGTGTTTTGCATTTCATAATGCACCACACGTTCAGTGGGAAACAGGACTGCAGGCAGGCCAGTCCAAGCTACGCTGTTGGAACACGTACAGAATGTGGTTTGGCGTCGTCTTGCTGAAATAAGCGGGGACGTCCCTGAAAAAGTCGTGGCTTGGTTGGAAGCATATGTTGCTCCAAACCCTGTATGTTCCTTACAGCATCCATTTATCCATGCCGTGGACACAAATACACCCCCATACCATCAGAGAGGCTGGCTTTTGAACATTGCGCTGACAACAATCCGGACAGTCCTTGTCCTCTTTGGCCGGGAGGACACCATGTCCATGATTCCTGTAAGAACCTTGTCCACCAGGGTTTCTACACCTTCTCAATTACTGAGGAAACACGAGTTCTTTTATGAAAGACAATACCTCTCAGAACGGAAGAGGAAAAAAAGATAATAATTTGTAGTTCCAGTCCAGTTCAATTTTCTAAAATAAAGTTATTTATTTACAGTTTTTTAAACTTTGACACAGCTACAAATAGACCAAAGGTCAATGAATGCTCACAAGAATCACTTTAACTGAATTAAATCTAAGAAAAATTTTCTATGATTAAACACAAACATTTCAGTAATTATACTTCAAAATATAACTCACTGAAGTTATAACTCAACAATCCACTTTGATTAAATGGAATAACAAAAAGAAAAATACTTAATCACTTCACTGTAAGGACAAAAGTTGATTAAACAAGCATTTGTGTAAAACATGTAAAGGGATATTTCAACCATTTTCTCATGGTGTGTATTTTCTTTTTTCTGAAAATAGATGCAAAGATTAACTCAGTAAACAACTTTGATTTATAAAATGATGATAACTTGTAGTTAAAAGCAAACATAAATCAAAAACATGAAGAATATTATTATTCTGTTTTTTAAAGAAAAGAAAAGAAATCTTTTAAGAAAGGATTTTTTTTCTTTTAAAAAAACAAAGTCAAAGACAAGTGGAAATGTTTATTTCACCTTTGGGGAACCCCTACATTCCCAAAAACAAATTGAAATGTGGACTTGTCAGACCAACTTTTCCACTTTGAGTCAGTCCAGATG